AGAGTGTTGCCAGCAGGTGGAGGGAGGTGATCCCGCCCCTCTACTCAGCCCTGGGGAGGCCTCCCCTGGAGTACTGTGTCCAGTTCTGGGCTCCCCAGGACAAGAGAGACATGGCACTCCTGGAGAGAGTCCAGTGGAGGGCTACAAAGATGATGAGGGGACTGGAGGATCTCTCCTCTGAAGAAAGGCTGAGAGAGCTGGGCCTGTTCAGCCTGGAGAAGAGAAGACTGAGAGGCAATCTGATCAATGAGTATAAATACCTGAAGGGAGGGTGTCAAGAGGATGAGGCCAATCTCTTCTCCGTGGTGCCCAGCAACAGGACAAGAGGCAACGGGCACAAACTGCAACACAGGCAGTTGCATCTGAACCTAAGGAGAAACTTCTTGACTGTGAGGGTGACAGAGCACTGGCACAGGTTGCCCAGAGAGGTAGTGGAGTCTCCTTTGCTGGAGATATTCCAAACTCGTCTGGATGTGACCCTGGGAAATATGCTCTAGAGGACCCAGCTTGAGCAGGGGGGTTGGACTAGATGATCTCCAGAGGTCCCTTCCAACCTTGGCCATTCTGTGATTCTGTAAGGTGCGTCTTATAAATGAAGTTTCAAAACACACTTTTAGCTAGCTAAATTGTAACACAGCTGTGAAAAAGGGTTTCAAAAGTCCTTACTAATTTTGGACATACAAATATATATACTCAACAGAGACCTCAAGTCTTCAGAAGGCACCATGATCTTATCGCATATCTCAAACTGTCAAAAGAGAGACAGACTAGCAAGTGACTTTCTGCAGTTTCAGTTTTTGGAAGCTGAAGTTCCTATTACCCACAGAACTAGAAACATAACGTATATAATGTAAACATACAGCCTATCCATATAAAAAACTAAAAAAAATTGTAAAAGGACAATTGCACTAAGCTGAACATTTTCATGAATCAAAGCAGTTGGAAAGAAATTTGGGCACAAAGTAAAGATAGAGAACTTCTTAAGAACAGTTTGTTAGAATCCCCAGATCTATCATTCAGAAAGAAAGAAAGGCATTGGATTAAGGTCACCTACTCTAGCAGGAAAGCTGCTCCAACTTTTTTTTTTCTTTTTTCCATTCATGTCATTAAAAAAAAACTTAGTAAAATCAAAAAAACCCACAGTAGCAGAGTTGGAAAGGGCATGAGCACATGATCAGATACAAAAGTTAGCTAGAAAAGCTTAAAAAATTATCAAAACTACCTCTCAGATACATAATACTGTTAATGTGTGTGCAACTATGGAAACTAAATTTTTACGATGGCAAGAAAAAATGGTCATGATAAATATTTAGGTCAACACAGGCGCTCACTAATAATTGGGACCATTGTAAGAGAGGCAATAGGTTGTCTGAAGATTTCTTATCATCATATTTGAATAAGTTTTTAACAGTGTTACCTAACTAGTTACTTAGGGTTTGCTCACAAAGTTGCTCAAATATTTTTTTGTAGCCACAGGAAATTGCTTATGTTTCCTCCTCACAAGGAGGACAAAATTTTGTTTTCCCTCAGCTCAAACAGCTCGGTGTTATCAGCCCAGCATTTAAAAAAAAAGAAAGATGATCAACAACAAGACGACCAACAAGGAGAAGAAGAAGAAGAAGAAAAACAAATACTCCAAATCAATTGATTTTGGGAAGATCATAGCAGGCATTCTGCAGACCATTAGTAGAGCAATCACAATTGCCTTTCCTGTCCTTACAAATCTTTAAAAGCTTAAGGCCTATCAGGTGGTAGGCAATACCCCATATCCGAAGCACAGCATCTGTTCTATCTGGTTAATTTTCATTTAACTATTAAAGCAAAACAAGTTAGCAATTACATCTTTAAAAGCCCTAATTCACCATCGAAGCAACTGGGCCAGCTTTTTCTCAAGCCTGTTCTAAGTTAGACTTTCAAGAGGGTAGCTGCTTGTTTGATTTTTAATTATTCCTTACTATATTAAAATAAACTTCTAGTAATCTCTCTCTCTTTCTCTCTCTCTCTCAATTTGTAATTGGATGTTACAATTTATTCCTCATAAACAGATACAAAGGTAAGTCTTATTACCCTGGAGCTCTCCTATAACCAGAAAATACCAATAATACTATTTAGAATGGCTATGAGATTGAATATATGGAAGGAAACTAGCGTTCATTTTTGTCAGAGGCATACACTTTATCCTGGTGAGGGGGTTTTTTGTTTAATATTGATTGTGCTGATGTTTCTTCTATCTATCTGCAATAGAAATATGCAATTTTGCAGTTTGTTTCTTTTTAGCCTAGGAAAAGATGACTCCTCCTTTAGTCTAAATTCTAAGTACCACCACTATCTGCCTCTGTGCTATGTACAATAAATCTTGAGTAGCTGCAAATATAATTTTCAGCCATTCCACACCCTATGGGAAATAGATCCCTCAACATTGGAAATGTTATCTTCCTCATAGTTCTCTTATTAATACTTTCTCAAAACCATTGCATCCAAGAAAATGACAAAATAGTAGCTATGAGCAGTTTCAACAACAGGCCATTCTTGATTTGCTCACAGCTTCATCCAGCAACAGAAACAATTAAGAAAAATCAGTCATAGGAGATCTGTCCTTAATGTCCATTTTTCCCTAGCGTAACATGTAAAAAGCGTAACGATGGGACGTTTTGTCTTCACAAGAGAGAAGGGCCAATAAAGACTCTAATTTCAAATTAAGACCTCATGTTTTTACATGAGCTCTGAACACTTTTTTAACCACACTCCCAGATGTGAAAATCCTTGGAAATAAAGCCCTAGTGAGAAGCAAGGTGGTTAGACAGAAAAGGAACTTGAGTTTCCTGAATCAAAGTAACTTTCACGCTTCAGTATAATTTCTTACATGAGAACAGAAAAATAACTGGACTTTCGGCACTGACCTGTCGAAGGTTGATATAAACTGCATTTTGAAGAAATTCAGAGGCTTCCATGCTCCTTTTCTGTATTGCAAGGACTCGCACTGCCTTCACGCAGGCTTCCAGTTCAATCACACCAGCATTCTTATACTTACGAAGAGAGAGATAATCAAAATAATATTGAAGTAGGGCACGTGTTAGATTTGACAAGCATTTCTCCTCAACACACAAGTCAGTCGTCACATCTCCCAAAACCAGCAACTCCTGAATGCTAGTGACTATACTGTTAAATTGTCAACATATACCCAAGTGAAAATTAAGGTGTCATCCAAAACGTTATTATGCAAAACAATGTTTTTCAACATCTTCACTCAACTTTTGTTATTTTAAGACACATCAGTCCATGAATTCAGATAAGGAGAAAAGTTTGGAATATCATCATCATTTTGGATACCCCCAAGTATAACCTATGTGTGTCCACAAAAAAATAATTCTACGTCCACACCATAATAGGTACATGAGCTAAAAGCCATTAATACACAGGTCCGTTTTAGAATAATATTTCACCAATTAAAATCATTCTAAGCAATGAATTGAGAAATTATTTTGCCTTTGCTACTTATTGCAAAATACCTGAAAAAATATAGGAAGCAAGAGTAACAAAACTCTAGTTTTTCCTGCTTCAAATTTATCTTTAGTTAAAATCATATCATTGATTACAGATGAATTACAAACCATTTTGATTTTTCTAATATACAGTTGAGAACATTATCTGTAAATGAACATTTCAGTTAAACTACACAGCTTGCTTAAAAAAGATAGGAAACAATGTATATACCCATTGACCTGTCTGAGTTCAGACAACAAATACAGGCAACTTTCTAGACAAGCAATCCGATCTAGTTATTTTCTCAGATAATACTGATATTGGACATTTGAGTCTGCCAATCACCTATGTAAGTTAAATTCTCTTGAGGTGTTCTTCATGTTTGAAATTTAATGTGGGACATAAGCCCCAGAATGAAATACAAGAGTAACTTTCCACAGAACTATAGTTACATATTCCTTTCTTGTGCACTTGAGATATCAGCAAAAACAAAAAAGACTATGGGGATTGAACACATTTTAAAAGAAGCTATGAAGGTTTCTTAAACTCAGTGATGACATCAAAACAGTGTAGAAAGCACTGCTTCCTCAGCATTACAGCTAGAAGTTACTCTACCGTACCAGTCCTAAACGGATCAAAAAGACTAAATATATTTGTCTTGAATAGCCATAAATCTGCTCTTGGTCACTTACAAGTGAAGGTGCAGTGAAGCATAACTGTTACTTGGAAAGAGCATAGTGGATATTATTATAACCAAAATATGAATAACCTGTCCTAAACTAAGTCCACCAGTAGCTGTACTTTCAAAAAAATACTCTCTTTCTAGATAAGCAATTTATCATTATGTTAACACGAACTGAATGTATACTGGAGAATTACTGCAGTATTGCAGATTTTATTTTATCTGAAACCCACCCTAAAACCATCACTTTTCATTGCACCTGGTGATAAATTACCTGATGTACACAACACATCTTTTGTGTATGTTTGGAGAGTCTCCCTTTGCTACAACTGGGGAAACAACATTTCATATTTTCATAACTCAATTTAAAGATACTTTTAAAATCAAAGAAGACAGACAAGTGAAATGAACAAGTGATTAAAGCGCAAACAAACAACTACACGATAGTACAACTAAAACCTATCTTTAGTGTTGATGTATATCCTGAGCAGAGCTCTGCTGTCACAGTATGAAATCAAAATTTTTTTCTCCATATTGTATAAACAAGAACATTAAACTACCTTACTACCATATGCACTCAGCATTTTCACACTAATCTAGAAAAACGCTCCAGTAGAGCTGAAACTATTTAATCTTTTCCACATCATCAGTTAAGAAAGTTTATCGTTCACATTTTCTCAGTAACCCCTACCTCTGTGCACGCTCTACACATTAGCCTCCCTGAACAGTCCTGTAAAATCACACCCGTGATCAGCAATCCCTGTATAAACTCCTGCATACACTCCTCAGATATCATTCCAGCAGTCACAGTAAATAAGCATCCAGCCCATATAATGCATAAAAGCATCAATAACGTCACTGCCATATGTACTGAAGACCATAAAGCTACCTAACAGTTACCAAAACCTTCCAAATATTTAACACTTCTGCTTAGAGTGCTTTAAAAATAAGACAATTACCCCCAAACAGGTACAAGCAGACATAGAAAATAGTATAACTCAGCGCGTTGCGATTTTAGATGTCATCTTTGATCAAAGTCCTGAGATGCCCAGGCTCTAAGCCAAGCATTTAGTGCAGTAGTACAAAATACTCCTGTTTCTCCCATTACTTTATGTTTACTTTTTTGCACATGCTTTAAAAGATCCTCTGAAACCAAAACCACAACATTTCATTATCTACAAGAGGCGCAGTGAAGTTTCTTAAAATTACATAGGACTACCTTGCTGTAGTAAGAAATGGCTTCTTTATATTTATCTATGATGTCTTCAGGACTAAGGCAATTCTTGGCACGTCCTATCTCAGCGCTGGTATCGGCATTTATACCATTTGAAGTCAGGGCACCTAAAACAGAAGAGGACAGGAAACGAGCAGAAACACTTTTAGCTAGTATTAAATATCTACAGGTTTTACCAAAGCATACACAAAGAATACTTGAAGAAACCATGCCATACCTATAAAATAAGTGTTCGTTTTCACTACGCTATATTAATAAAGAATGTAAATGAAAAATGGATTAAAACATAAAACATAAAACAAAGAAAAAAATAATATTTCACTTATTAAAAAACAAATATAACCATAATCTTTTACACTGATCTGAATATTTAGACAATGAATAAAATATAACATTGTTAAAATTAGGATACAGCTGAATCTGAACAGGCATTTTTAATCTTTGAGTTTTTCATTTACTTATAAATAGAATTTCTAAAGCACACATAAGAAAGAAATTGTGCAATATGTTATTATAAACTAATTATTAGAACAGTGATCTCCTCCTCCAATAATTTAAAACAAATGCTTCTCTTCCCTATCTCCAATGACAGAAAAGTACTAAATTATTAAAAAAAAAAAAAAAAGTAAAAAAACTACCTGAGGCCAGTACAATGAGAAATTGCATTTCATATATAAGAAAGAAAAAAAGAGGCAGAGAGGCTTTACACACATAAGGGACAAGAATTCAAAATAGAAGATAAAACAATCTGGGGTATGGCAAAAAACATGACAATTCTATTTTTTTGAATTTAATTTTATTGCAGAGCTAATATAATAAAATTAAACACGTACATCAAAGGTTTGGAAAGGCTCTATACCTTTTTAAATGTTATTTAATCTGTAGGATTCAAAGTCCATGCCTAAGTGTATACTGTAATTTATTTCTCCAATAGGTTTCTCTGCTAAGACGGCAAAGAAACTTTCACGTTTCAGAGTAGGACCAAACCCTTAGAACAGTTATGGTTAAGAACTACTGCGAATGCTACTTTCTACCCCCTCTGTGTATTCAGAAACATGTTATTCTATATGCTTAAGTGCTAAAATAACATTTTTCTTATGTCTGTCAACCCTGAAGAATCACACCAAGGACACCTGTAGGTTAATGCCTTAGGCTTTTAAGGAAGTTCTAAGTGCAAAATCTTTGTTGGTGAGGACTGAAAGAGTACCTTGAGACTACAAGACTACATGTGATTATACAGGTTTGTCTGCTAAAAATTTTAAACCCCCACTGCTCATGAGAACATTTGATAAGGATTTACTGAGACCCAGCAATGGAACTACAGAATTTATTTTGTGCTAACTACTCTTCACAGTCTTTCTTTTGCTTCCTCAAGAAAAAACTGAAAGCATCAGGAATCAGTACTAGTTTTGGCAAGTGGCAGTAACTACCTACACAAATGCAAAACAAATGCAAGTAATAAGACAAGACTTTGGAAACATGCATGAAAATAATGTACCTGGATCAATGAGAACTTCTTGTGCCCCTAAAAGGAGGAACAAAAATGATTTTTTTTTCAGCCTTCAATATAGCCAACAAAAATAAGCTCTTATAATATGTTTTATAACTATCATCAGGCTTGAACAAAATTATAAAATTTATTAGAATCATCATTCCTGTTTTGAAGGTCTGCCAATCATATAAGTAGTCACCATATGTTAAATCTCATTTTGCTAAAAATCAAATAAAGGGGAGTAAAAATCCCCTAACTTTATAATCAATTTTAAGACACATCAACAAGAATTGACAAATTTTCATGATATATTTTGAAGTCAAATCCCTTTTTTCACCCTTTTCTTTACTCTTGTTTTAGTTGGCAAGTTTCCACGGCAGTTCGTTTATTAAATTTTAATAATCAGGTCCTACAGTGCCTACATCTCCCTATGTGAGCTCATTTAATCCACACAGTCCTCGAGGGTAACACTTTTAAAGAACCGTAACCAATATATCCCTTATAATTATCATTAATTTCACTCCATGACAGCTTCTGAATGATTTGATTAGGGCCTACTCAACAAGCCAGACTATTTACAACAAATAGTTGACAAGACTGTTGGAGATGACTTGGTTTAATCAGAAATACATCATCTTGTTACCCTAAGCTTCTATCAAAAATAACAACAGAACTGTTAAGATTGAGGGTTAGGCAGTTCAAAATAATTGCTTTATGAGAGAGACAGGACCTCCCTTCAATTGATTTTCTCGCTCTCCAGACTAGTGAATTGCAGATTTAGAGCCAGATCAAAAAGGCACTCCAACACCTTACTCGGGTTTCCTAATTCTTCTTGGGGAAAGAGGAAGGTCCGGTGACAAGATTAAGAGTCTTGTACTCCATAAAAAAATCCAATACAGTAGAATGTAACCCAAAACAGCTAGCAAGCTAAACATGAAGCAGTCTAAAATCAGTTTATTCAACATACAAATCACCCCACCAACAGAACATGTCCACGTTCCTAGTCAATCAGAACTACTAAGCAACTTTCAAATCCATTTTTATACTAAAGGCCGCAGACAGGTGAATCCACCAGTTCAAAAGGACACACTCTAATGCTTTCTCCCTACAAACAAAAGGTTCTAGGAACCTGAGAAGTTGCACTTGTTTTTAAAACAACTTTTTACTGTTGGCAAGATACTGCAGTATCAGTATCGTTCACTCGGGCAATGACCACATGGAAGAAATCAGTCTCTGAAGAAGGCAAAACTGCACATCTCCCTCACTTTGGGAAGTAATTTAAACTTTATGTTATTGACTAATTCTCTTCTGAATGAACTATTCCTGAGTAGCGACACACTTCCTAGGGAGTTTCAAAAGAAAGTGAAGGGCTCACTACCAAAAAACAGACAATATTCTGATGGCTGCAACACATCCTACATAGGTGTGAAATATGACATTACAATACTGCTTAGCAGAAAAAAAATGTAGCACCTCCCTTTTCTTAAGTTTGTGATTTATGCTACAGAAAGAGAGGCAATATTAACACTTCTCTCCTCAGATTTTTTTTTTTTTTTAAATAAAGTAGACACCACACCACTTGTTGAGTAGCCTAGTCCTGCACAATAGCCTGAAAACGCTGACTGGTGAAAGTCACAGGAGATTGAAGAGGAACATGCTTTTCTTGACTAAGTGTGGGCACAAAGGGAGTACCAAGAAAACTTGCCCTGTCAAGGCTGAAGTTACATGTACAAGAAGAGGTGCAATTCCAGGCAAATCAGGAAGTTATAATTATCACATCTATATTCCTCAAGAACAGATGTGAGTTGAAATTCAGTTCCAAGTAAGTCATATCTTGACTTGAGAAAAATTTGGAAACCCAAGTCCCTTTTTGGATCTGGCCTGATTCTACAGAAAGGTACACTGGAATTAGTTCCCTAGGTCAAATCCCGTCCTTACAAAATTAGTGTTGACAAGGTAGATTAACTGTATAAACAAGGTTGCACTTAAAAAAAAAAAAAAAAAGTTTTAAATGAAAGGCATTGCAGAGTCAGCAAAAGGCAATGAAAAGAATCTTTCAGAAAATATAGGAGAAAGACATCACATCCTTAGCTATTTGGCTAGATATTAGAGTTTAGCATTTCAGATCTCAAAACATTAAAAGGTCATAACTAGAGTAAGGGAACAGTAACTCATGCACTTCGAAGTAACATTTTCATCTGAAAGGAATGACAAAAAAGTATGTAATCAATTTTTCTTCATTTATTAATGTTTGGTTCAAAGCTTCTCGAAAAATCTTATCACATGGAATTTATACAGTAAGACTGCATTAACAAGTTTGCAGACTGCTAACAGTGACAGGATTATTTTGAGTTACAAAGCAACTTATCCACAAAAGCAAGTATATAGCCAAAATATATTTTATTACATTATTTTTACAGCTGTGACTTATTTGTTATATCCTTTACTAAAAAGGCATATCCTTTAACAAAGGAGAGATTGCCACACCTACTCTTAAATATTTTCTGAAAAGTGGAGAAAGGTTTGTAACTGTGTGACATGGTACCACACATTATAGCCAACATAAAAACATGCTCATAGATCAGAAAAACCAAATGAACAGACTTTAATCCCTGTATATAGTACATGTATCTGGTATTCTCTCCTGAAATAAGGTAATTATAATATCAAAATTATCTGAGGTCAACACACAACTTTTGTATTAAAGATGACACATAGCAGATGTTTTGTTAGGTTGTGATTTATATATGAATAAACTTTGGGTTTTTCTAAATGAAAGAATTAATTTTAATCACACTGCACATAAAAGAGCACTTACATCAGCAGTTAAACTCAGCTTCTACTTGTTTCAGGACTGTATAAGAACCTAACTACGTACAAAAGAATGGCTATATTGGGCTAGACCAGAGGCCTGTCCAGCTTACTAGTCCCCCTCCCACAAAGTACATTAAAGCAAAGCAAGCTTTTAAGATGCTTCACCAAATATGCTCCTTGCCTACAGTCATTTGCAGCTCAGACTTTCTGAACCAGAGGCAGTTTTCACATATTTGTGAAATTATCAATAGATTTTTCTTCCATGAACCCTATCCAACCTATCCTGGAAGCCAGCTCAACTTTTAGCAGCCCCAACACCTTGTGGCAAGTGTTAGCTTATGGGATTAAAGGCTCATCTCCATAAACACAAAGGAGCACAGGGGAACAGCGTCCAGTGGAGGAACCCTAATAACCTAATCAGATACAACAGAACTGTTTCGGGAGGAAACGGATTACGAGGAGTCGTTAGGAGAGGCTCTCCAGATCACCCTACTGACTGAGATGGGTTACCACCTACCTGGGTTTAGGAATCATTATGGCAAGAGCAGGGGAAGAGCATCTTGGGTTCATACAAGAGTTATTACGATATTTTAGGGGACAAACTACAGGCAGGGAAAGGGAAGGATCAAGGCAGTTTGGGGAGGAACAAGCATGGAAAAACAGAGGTATAAGAGCATAAAATACACCAGTCACATGTAAACAGGTTGTTGGTTAGTATGCTTGTCTGGTCATACCCTGTAACACTGATCACTACAGTCAGTCCTGTCTTCTCATTAAACTCCATTTTTCTGGGTAAGGGGACTCTCTTTGCGTACATATGCGCACAACAACGGGAAAAGGGCCCATGGGTCATGGGGTGCATGCGCCTGAGATGCTAGCAACTGGAGAGACCAGAGTGTGTGCATATTGTGTGCATATGCCAGTGTGGAGTCACTAGCAAACATCAAGCTGGACTAACCAGCAGGTAGGACAGGAGGTCTGGGAGCCAAGTGCTGGCGTAGCCAGAAGTTTGAGTCAGATACTGGATGGATTCAGAGTGTGTGTGTGTGCACGCGCGCACGCAAGCACACGCGTGTGCGCGTGCACATGCAACACTAACAGGCATGTAACACTAACAGGGTTTCAGGCTGATCCGCCAGAGAAGGAAACAGGATTAGGCTGTCAGTGCTGTCTGTCTGCACGAGTGCTGTGTTTTCTGCCTGTGTTGAGCTGGCTGGTTGGCCATGTGTATATGTATTACGTGAACGCGTGCATGTGTGCCTACTGGGAATACACGTGCTTAAGTCTCACTGCTGACTGCATCTGAGGACATGGAACCGAGGCAGTCTTGCCTCTATCGGTCTACCATATTTGGGAACTCCTAACAGCAGGGAGTTCCACAGTACACCTAGAAATTGGGTAAAGATTAATTCCTTTCATTTGTTTTGAATCTGTGATCTGCTAGCTCTATTTGATGTCCTCTAGTTCTTGTGTCAGAAGAAGCAGTGAACATCTGATCCCTACCCATCCTCCTCCAGTGTTCATGGTATTATAGATCTCTATCACATTTCTCCTCAATCATCACTTTTTCCAGAACTGAAGAGTCCTAGTCTATTCAGTTATTCCTTGTACAGAAACCATATGAAGTGTTTGATCGTCTTTGTTGCCAATCTGCAACCTCCTTCCAGTAGAGAAACAGGAGAAAGGGAACGTGGACACCATTTTGAGCTGGGAAAATGAAACGGCAAATAATATTACAGATACCATGGATCTACTTAATGATATTTTCTCTTTTTTTTTTTTTTCCTCTCCTAATAATTCCTTTGTCCTCTCCTAATAATTCCTTAATGAAGTTAAGCAGACCATATCTCCAAAGAACACCTATATCAATGTCGCACAATCACCCTATTAGTTACACAATCTAAGAGTTCATAAAAAGCATGCTAAATCTTAAAAACAATGCTGGTTTATAGGTATTTAGTTAACCAAAACTATTTGTTATATCTTGACTTTGGAACAGCAGAACACCTCAGCATAAATACACCTAACTCACCCTTCTCGGCATGTGTGGCTCTTCCATACCACATATGTTTTCTGAAAACTGTCTGCACTTCCTCTGTCAAAATTCAAGCTAATACTTACACTAAATTTTAACAATCAGATGAAGTAATATCGACCAAAATCTTTACAACTCTGTGTAAAGCTCTAGCTTGTCTCAGTTCTTCCTGCCATGTGTAAAATTTTACTAAAAGTAGGAAATGGGGAGGATGTTGCCATTACTGAATATCTGAAAAACAGAATACAAATGAACTCCAGCGCTTACCTGGTCTGTGCCTGTTGCCTGCCTCGGCAGAAAGAGAACCTCCTTGTGCCCTACGAGTTCCAGTTTTACCTCCAGTACCACCGGGGTAATGGTAGATGACTGATGCTGAACATAGCCCTTCAAGAGCAGCTGGAGATTAAAGAAAGAATCAACAGATTAGTAGAGTCAATTCATTTACATGAAGTAGCGCGTAGCAGAGTCAGCTCATTTACATGAACGTGAAGTATACTTCGATTGGGGACCTAGTGACAAAGGTCACGGAAAAGGCCGAGATACTCAACAACCTTTTTGATTCTGTTTTCATTTGTAAGGTTTACCCTCAGGCTTTCCAGGTCCCCAAGCCTACTAGCAGAGTCCATGGGAGTGAAGCATTATCCATAGTAGAGGAAGATATAGTTAGGCAGCGCTTAATCCACTGGACATAAATCCACAGACAGGATGCTTCTGAGGCTGTCAGAGAGCTGGCCAATGCCACTGAGAGGCCACTTTCTGCGCCCTTCAACAGGTCATGCCAATTGGGAGAGGTTTCTGATGACTAGAAAAAAAGCAAACATCACACCCATCTTCAAGAAGGGGGTACCAGGGAACTATGGGCAGGTCAGCCTCACCTAACTCCCTGGGAAGGCTACAGAGAAAATCATTCTGGATACCACGTCCAAGCACATGAAGGACAAAAAGGTGACTGGGAACAGCAAACATGGATTTGCAGAGGATAAATAAGTCCTCATCAACCTCATTGCCTCCTATGATTAGATGACTGGCTCAGTGGACAATGGAAGAGCAATGGACACTGTATACCTTGACTTTAGCAAGGCCTTTGACGTGATCTCCCATATCACCCTGATAGCCAAACTGAGGAGATAAGGTTCAGGTAAGTGAACCATGAAGTGGGTGGAATATTGCCTGGACTGTCAGGCTCAAGAGAATGAAACCAGCAGCAAAAGTCCAGCTGGTTGTCAGTTACTAGTGGTGCCCCGCAGGGATCAATATTGGGACCAATACTCTTCAATATCTTTAACAACAGCCTGAATGATTGCATAGAGCTCATTCTCAGCAAGTTCACAGATGATACCAAAATGGGGGGGGGGGGGGGAGCAGCTGGTACGCTGAAGGACAGGGCTGTTATTTAGAGAGAACTCGATAGGCTGGAGATACAGGCCAACAGGAACCTCATGCAGTTCAACAAAGGCAAACACATTTCAGATGGAATAACCCCACGCAGCAGCACAGCCTGGGAGCGAATCGGCTACAAAGCAGCTTTGCAGAAAAATACCTAGGCATCCTGGTAGGCAAGTTAACAGGAGTTAGCAGTAAGTCCTTGCAAAAAAGGTGGCCAACTGCATAGCAGGCTGTAACACCCAGTGTCCCAGCAAATCAAGAGATGTGATTATTCTCTTCTAGTCTGCATCTGCGAGACCTCATCTGGTGTACTGTGTCCAGTTTGTTTTGGCCTCCCCAGCACTAGAAAAACATTGGCATATTGAAGCGATCTCAGGAGAAGGCTACCGAGATGGTCAGGGGACTGCAGCCCACGACATATGAGGAGAGTTGAGAGAACCGGGTTTGGTCAGCCTTAAGAACAAGAGGCTAAAGGGAGATCTTATTGCTGTCTTCAAATATCCAGTGGGAAAGTACAGAGGAGACAGAGCCAGACTCTTCTCTGAGGTGTACTGTGATTGGATGAGGGTCAATAGACACAAGTTGCATCACAGGAAATTTTGCTTTAATAAAAGACTTTTTTTTTTTTTTTAAATTATGAGATGTAAAATGTTAGAACAGGTTGCCCAGAGATTGTAAAACCTTCATCCTTAGAGACATTTAAAACTCAACTGGACAGGTCCTTGAGCAACCTGATTTAAATAGACCTGGTCTGACCAGAAGGTCAGACTAGTGGACCTTTGAACCTAAATTATTCCATGATTTTATGAGTACAATTTTATAATCCAATAGAAGGGCCTTAAAATATTTTCATGCCCTGCAGAAGTAGGTAAGTCTTCCTTTTCTGCTTGAAGGATCCTGAGTGATTTAATCTTTTGCAAGAGTACAAGCCAAAAAAAAGTGGAAAGTTGGAAATGGTTAAGGTTTTTGTAATATGTAAGCTACAGAGCAGGTAAGATGTCAAATGGATTTCCATGTAAAATGAAAGAGAAAGCTGAAAGCGGAGCTGGAGGCAGCAATTTTCCTAAAAAGGCGGGAAACTGAGAAGAAGGAATTTAATTCGGAGATCACGCGTATATCCAGTACAGAGAAAAGAACAGGAGAAGAAATCTGAAGGGGGAGAGGGGGGAAGCAAAGCCTAGGATCTAATGCAAAAGTGAAGACGACGTGTCAATGGAAGTTAAACCCTTGTGGCTTTAGCAGATGCAAAAGCAAAAATTTTTTGCTAGCAGTTCTAGTAAATACATGCAGGAAAGATTTCTAAATCATTTGTACAATCCCCTGAAAAAAAGAAACACTTTCCAAAAAAGCATTAAAAAGTCAAATTCAAAATTTTTTTTTAAATATATGCTTTACTACAATTGCACATTTTATATTGCAAGTGTTTGGGCTTTTTAAACACACTTTTTTTCTAATGTCTTATTAACAAATTTTAAATTTTGATTTAATTCTTAGTTACTCTTGACATTCAGACTTTGATCACCCAAAATTGTTCCTCCTTTTCATAACATAGAAGGAATGTTATAGAAGATAGTTTGATTTCCTTGATTTTAGCAACCAATTATTTGATCCACTATAATCAATTATTCCTACCTCCAAGCCACAGAAAATCATTTACAGACCGCAGAAGTTCCACAGCCATGTGATAATGCACTAAGGAATCCTGTAACATCCCAGCTTGCAAACATAGGTCACCAACATGTTTCCGCATCCGGCCTTGACAACGCTTCTTATAGTGTCTGCAAAATAAAGCTACAGTTCATAACTACTTCCAGGAAACACCTATTTGAGATAATATTTAACCTAAAGTCAGTTTTGTTTCCTCCTTAACAATGCATCAGCATCAATTTACTCTCCCTGGGCAATTATCCAGCCTGAATTCTAACCAGCGTAACAGGCAAAAGTAAAAGCACCAATGTTCTGAGGGGATATGGCGAAAACCGATGTACCATATATTTTGGCTATATAACATTAATATATACACAGTCAGACAAAGTTCAAAGACTCTTTTTCAGCGCACTTTAATAGCCATGTCACAAATTAAATAAAAATATACTCATAAAGAGTAAAGAACTGCTCGTATCTGTAAAGTAGTATTACGTCTTTAGAAATATCATGGCCTGTTAAAAAAAGAATGTTTTTCTTTTGAAGAGATAATTAGCAGAAGAACTGATTAAACCTATAGCTCCTTTCCATTCTTCCTCCTGTTCCACACTTAGAGGCCCAACATGACCACCATCATTTCTGTCAAGAACTGGCAAGAGTTTCTGTTCCTACTCTTCTTTTATTTATTCAAATAAAACTTCAAACAACACCAACAATACAGTGTCTTTCCTATCCCAACCACAGTTAATAGATAAGGACAATAAAGTCTTACTGAAAATATTAAGAGTAAACAGATGCTTTCGTACAACTGGAAAGCCAACCAAGTATAGCATATTAATATATTCCTTTAGATTGTAAGGCATAAAGGCTAGGAGAGACGATAATAACGAAAACATTTATATTAACTACATGTTACCATGTTACTGTTTTTACTGGAGACAAGCATCAAGTCCTAATAACAGCCCCTACATTCAGCTATGAAATAATGTCTTATTTTTTGAACTTGAAAAAAAAAAAAAAAGTTATCATTATTCATTACTTAGTCTGGGAACAAAAATTTACAGATAAATGTTACATTAAAAAAACATGCAATCTTATATTTAAAAAAAACAAGCAGAAAAGCAATCAGAAATAGTATTATTGACAAGAAGTCAAGAAGCACGTCTCCTATTGCTTCCGTCCATCCTAAAAATTGCAAATAAATCCGTAAATGTATAGTCCCACTTTTCTGATCAACCACCTCATATTCACAACTGATGTGATGAAGATGGCAACACATAAGACTATAAAAAGACTGTCGTCTTTATCTTTCAGGTTTGCCAAGAAATCGCATTATTTCTTATCTTTCAGTTTTTCAACAAGCTTCTAATTTATGGATCTGTTTTATGCAAAAAAGTAAGAAAATTCCAAGTGAAAACTAAAGTTGCTCTGCAGAAACTAAGAAAGGACATCAAATCTTAACAAGACTTCAATATGAGCTTTGGCTTTTAGAGAAATATAGTTGGCCAAAATGTTGGTTTTTAATCTCGTAAACAGTTTATACTCTCCTATACAACCCTGAATCAAGTCAGGGTTTTGTTAATCTCTGCATTTTAAAATGAAATGAAGATCATAAACGTTATTATTTCTTTTAATTTGCTACACAGAATAAATAGTGGAATGGGGAAACTCAGTTTATTCCGGAGCAATAGTTTCATTCAGAGATGCTAACTCTTCACGCGGAATTCCTCTCCCTAAATTTTCAAGTATTCTGTAGGGTTATGGACAAATTGCATTCCTTACTACTGCACAATGGTAATTTTGTAGAGGTTTTTTTTTTTATTAATGCACACAAGATTATTTTTATTCATTATCATCCTAATTATCTTTCCTGATATTAATTACAGTATCAATTTGTCATCATGATCTGTAACAGATCATCTTTCTTTGTTTTCCTCCAAATGTTAGGATTACAGCCAAGAACCAAGCTGAAAGGTTAAATAAAATTTATTTTTAAGAAGCTACTGTCCATATTTCAAATGCGATCATTTCACAGTTCCTACCAAAGTGACAGCAATCGATAGACTAGCGGTAACCTTTTAAAAACTAATACGTAAGTTCAGAGATGAAAGAAAAGAGTTCAAAATATCCAAACTAAGCAAATCAAGTGGATTTTATTTACTAATTTCTGGATCAGTTACTCAATTTTCCTTGATTTTATCGTTGTTTTTTGCACTCAACTGGAAGAAATTTTGAAAGAGCATCCTTTAAAATAAATACTACTCAAAAATTCAATATAATCTTTATAAATCATTACACTTCCATGAGGAAGCTCAGAAAATTTTTACAGTAACTAATATTTTCCAAATTGCATATTTTTAAGTTCTTAAGCGTACATTCTTAAGTGCAAGTCATATAGCAAAAGCAGAATAGAGCCAGACTTCTAAAACGGAGACTGATATCAGAAATGCTTCAGTAACACAGCCTCACCAACAACTCTTCCCAATCAATATCTAATTCTGCTAAACACTTTATGCACATGTCAATATATTCAAAATGTGAATGCATCTGCTCACTGCAGTAAAAGTTAAATATCAATAAACATTGTTTAGCCATAACATTTCTCTTGTCAGAAACTCGCCCTGATTATAAGCTAAAAGATATCTTATTCCTGATGAGGAAGATATTAACTATTAATCGTTCAAAGGCTGAATTCATTCTACCTACTTTTTGGCTCTTAAATGTGGCGCCAAGAGAGAAGCTATCTCCTACACTCTCCGCAAAGCCTTCAATCACCTCCTTGAGAACACTTCCCACTAATTATAGAGGAAGTTTGCAATGTACAGATGTATAAATCGTGTCCTATTTTAGCACTCACAGTTAAGTGCAAGGAATTCAGGCCTTAAACTACAAATATGCCAGCTTTCAATTAGTGCAAGCGTGTTTGAAGAGACAAAAAGCAAAGATTTCTTTAAAGCTAAACCCATTCTCCGTAGACAGCAGGACTCAAATTTACTTTGTATTTGGGAAGCTGGTTTCAGAAAAACCACATCTGCAAAATCGGGTCATTAACAGTATGACTAAGTGAATTATGATTTAAACAACTGCTGAATCGATCGATTACTGGATGGTAAATTGAATGGAAAAAAATTCATATATGCTGACCCTCCTAGGATAAAACGATTATTCATAAAACTTAACAGCTCTACCCAATAAATCAGGCTGCAAAGCTAAGAGCCAGAGCTTAGAGAGACCTTCTTCCTAATATAATTTTGATTAAAACATTGCTTAATTGTTTTGGTCCTCTATTGCTTAATTCTAACGTATTTGATGACAGGAAGCCCACACAAGCTTTGCTACTTTTTCTAGGATAAGCAAAGGCCAGGTCCTTGTCATACCCCACTGCTAAAAGCTGTTAACCTTCTTGGGCAAAAAGACAGATAATTTAAGATGTTAGGAAAGCAGTGTCGCCTAAAAACACAACAAAAAGAGGCCCGTCCAGGGAGTGTGATGCTGCACTTAAAAATATCTCAGAGAAGACAATGTCATGTAATACAGGACTACATGCCACATACACTGTAACTTCAGACCATCATACAAACTCCTCTTCAGAAGGTCCTCTCCTCAGCACATGTACTACACACGACTACAAAGCTAGTTTAAAATCTTCTTCTCTAAAGAGAAGCCCAGCCACATTCATTTTGTTTTACCAGATATATGGTGCTCTTCAGAATAATAACGACCATCATCATCACCATGAGTAACCATTACTACTACTTCACATTGGAGGAGAAAAATCCTGTTCCAGTTCTCAAAATGGAATCAGAAAGCACTGCTGTAACCCACATCCACTTCTACCTCTTTTGCTATATAGGATACATTCTTCACCCCTCCATCCCCAACTCCTTTTTTCTCTGAGTTCCCCTTTGTGAAACTAAAATTGCCTAGAATGGCTACAAGGATAATACTTGGAAAATTCAGAGCAACGGCATTATATTTCAAGACACAAGTTATTCCCACTAAAAACCATCCAGCAACAAGTTTGAAAGGAATTGCTGAATCCTCAAGATTTCAAAATGGCTAAATTTAAAAATAAAAACATGCAAAATGAATTCACAAAAGTATTCATGCAAAATGAATATTCAACAAAAATTTCCATCAAATTCTGCCAAACCCAATTAGCATGCATAACTATAGATATCACCAATCATAACATTATCCAGACTTAAAAACACAGCTACAGCATTTGACTGACTTCCAGAACTTTTGAATTTGGAAACCAAATACAGGCAGCAATAGCTTCATGGCTTTGGAGTTTAAAAAATAAAGCAAATTCCAGAGGCCAGCAGCCACCTAAGCAAATTATGTGTGTCCTACAAAAAAATATTCAGCATTGCTACCAAATACAATTGCCAAATGCGCCAAAAGGTGTCAACCACAGTAGTGAGGGTCCAGGCAGCAATAATTTTTATATGTACTAAAAAACAAATATAAAAAGCAACACTAAACTATGCAATGAAGGCAGAGTGGAAAGGCAGGACATGGAAGAAAGCTAACTATTTTTAAACATACGCGATCACAGCCTACCTTTTCAGACCCAACAATAAACTCACAGGGCAGTATGAGAGAAGAAGAAAAAAAGAAAGGAATAAAACAAAAATTAGAAAGACAAAGAACAGAAACAAAATTAACAGCCACATACACATACTTAAATATCACAAAGTTTGACAAACCAGTGAACAAATCCCACCAACTATTCTATTTAGAAAAACAAACTTTTACAAATACAGCCCTACTTTCTAATCACTCAGTAATATTAAATGGATGCCTTACAAGTATTAAGAGAGAACAAAAAAAGATCCTAACACACAAACGGACATAAACAATATTCAAATGAGTTTATCTAAAAAGATTATGATTACAAGCATGTTGAGATTTTTTTTAACTGGAAACAGAAAAGTCACAGAAAATTTAAGCAAATGGGATTTGTCAAGATGATCAAGAATGGACTAATTTCAAAGGAAAGCTCTTATCTTACAACTTGAATAGAGCCCCACAACATTAAATTCAGTAACATGGATGAAGAACATGCAAATTATGTCTAACACAGCGCGCACTAGCCATGACCCTACTATAGTATTTCTGGCAAGTATGTTTCCCAGCCTCAAGTCGGGAAGACTTCTGTATCGTTCTCTGAACATGCAATTCCATTCCCTTCAATCTGAGTCCGTTCTCAAACATCTACGAACAAATACCAAGAGCAACTGACCTCAAAAACTTTGTCACAGGACTGCTGAGGATAGTTGAAAATATTTTATGTAATTTACAGACGAAGAACAGAAACACAGGAAAATTAACTGATTTGCCAAGATCACCTATTGGCTGGCTGCTCTAGGAATTAAACCTAGGTCAGATGCCCAGTCCTACACCTTTCTGTCAATGTGCCTATCTTTCCTCAACACTTGACTCCCTGTTAGGGAACCCGCTATTTTTGCTAGGTAAAAAAAAGTTTTTCACCAGCCAAAAAAGTAATTCTACACAAATCGTTCAATGTTTTTCTCTATATTACTGTCTCCATACGAATTCTGGGAACGTTCTCTCATCTGCTCAGTATACAAACAACCTGTCAAAAGACAAAGATCGACTGCACCCTTCTTCAGAATCTTATCTGAAATGCAGCTTAATCTTTCACATACCTAATTTATAAATGCCACATCTCAAAATAAGACAATCAGGTTTCAATGACTATGTAACCTAGCGGCAAATATCCATTCTTGGTACTAATGCCAGTCTTCTAAATTGGGCAAGATAAAAGATCAGTCTTACCCATCTATTTCTGATCACGACATTAGCACTAACTTTAGTATTTTACCATAAATATGTTGGAGAAAAGTATATTTTCATATTAAGAGACTAAAAAAGTTGAGCAGTTTTAATTAGTCTTTCAGTTGAGGAAGGGGAAAAAAAAAAATCAGATGATCATAATTACTGCATCCCATGTAACTTCTTAACATATTCTCACTCAATATGTCAACCTGGTTCATTAGCTGAGGGTTACAGCTATACTCTAAGTCTAACAAGACCTGTGGTACAGACTATCAAATGTAACTTCAAAAATTCAGAAACTGCTGTAAAACATATGCTTATTGAGACTAAAAAGACATCCACAACTACAGCGGCAAAGACGCGTACTCTCAGTTACGAGCACTAATTTCCATCCATTTAATATAGAACATTGAGGCTCATGTACCAGTTTGTTTCACACTGACGGTAAGGTCAGGATAAACTATATCAATAAAATGAAAACAGAGGGGGTAAGAATAAAGTCAGGATATAAAAAGAGTAAAGGGACAATCTTTGCCTTTCATCCTTCAGAAACTTCCCCCTATTCTAGGAAAAGTTGTTTCGTTGTCCTCACTGTCTCATGAACAGCTTAATTTTTTGACTTCACTCTTTAAACTCATTATACCTAAAGATTCAAAAAAAAAAAAAATCAAGAAAGTAGTAAAAGTTATTATACCAGAGGTTTTCTTACACACTCCCAGCATTTAGACAACCTTTAGTCTCTCACTGTACAGAATTATACAAACCAGCATCTTGCAAAAACAGAAATTGGACTCAGTGTAATAAGGTCATTTTTGATCTTGTATCTCCATATTATGACTTAAAACAATGATTTTCCCTTAATTAGGGAATCAACCACTACAAAAGAGAATATGCTACAATAAAAACCTTTTATTGAAACCCAAGTAATAAAATGAAATACACTAGTATTTCACATCTAAAGACTCTGGCTATTATATATAAAGCCCAAGTTTTAAAACAATCAGAAGTGCTAATTCCATAGCAAAATAAAAAACTGTAAAACATTTTCATTTTATTTTTCAACTGAAGAGGAAAGATTAGAATAGAGGAGTTGATTAGAATTAGAGGAGTCAGGGACAGAAAGGATTTAGTTAAAGTATATCCATTGACTTAGACTTACTGAGAATCTTTTTAGCATTCAAGCCATTTGACAAGGTTGCATGCATATCTAAACTACTGCTTAATTTTTTGTAAATGCTTATGTTTACTGAACCAGGGTGAGAGAAGAGGGACTTGCACCTTACATTTTGCAAAGGGCTGAAGCATGACATTAAAATCATTCCAGGGTTTCAGGGTAACAGCACAAAATCTCTTCTTGGGTATGTATGGATAAATACACTGCTTGTTATTGGAGCTCCCCACCAGTTTAGAATTTCACAGGACATTTTTGGCCACTAGCTACACACAGTCACAGCTCATAAATTACAAGTAATTTTACAATAAGTAATTTTACCATTTGGAAACGTATTATTTACAAGAAACAACTGAACAGCAGAATTAATTCTGATATTAAGACAAAGATTTCTGGGCAAAACTCACAGTTTTCTTAGCTTAACTGGAAACAGGAAATCTTGGTGATTGTGTTCATCCAAAATTCATCCAGAGTGAAGAACTAAAGTCAAGATTCTAAGAGGGCTCATCTAGTCTAGAAAACTTTACTGTCCGTAGAGTACCGAAAATACAGTAACATAATTTATACTGCTAATGAAAGTCAAATAATGCAGGGACAAAATAGAACACTAGAACTAGAACTAGAAAAAGTAGCTACCCTTGGAAATGATACTAGTAGCAAGCTGGCACAAGTTCAACTGCACACCACCAAAGAGGATCCGGAACAGGGGAGGAAAGTGCGGCCATTCCTTCAAGCAACCAGAGATAACTTAATGGAGGCTTCAAACTAATTAGAAACCTTGAATACCGTCTTCCAGTATATTACACTCTTATATAGAGATTCTAAGGCTAGCATCAATTATGCAAGTAGGGCTAATTAACTTGGTCAGGAGGCCTCACAAGCATGCCTGTACAGCTCTGAACAAGGTATCCAACGTGGTTATCTCTCAGCTTTAACCACTGCTAGCATCCCTAGTCGTACAAAATTGATTTGAAAGATATTCCCACGCATACTACGTATTTCGTTAGGACTTTCACACCTCTGTCTGTCTTCTCCAAGATGATAGAAAGACATTTTATTTCTTACTTTGGATTTGCCTGTGAGCAGTGGAGTCAAATAGATTTTGCACCTGCCTGTAGCTAGCAAGCCAGAACTACTACTCCCTAATATCAGAACTATGCAACACTCAAATCTGAAAGCTGAGCATCCAAATGATGCAATGTGAATAAAATAAATAAATAAGAACTATTACACAGACAAAACCTCTAGACAAAGAGAACAATTGTGAATGGAATGGTAGCAAAACAGGACGGGTCAAGAACATCAAATAATTAAATAAAAAAGTAAGAATGAAAGATGCTGAACTTGGTTGGCAAAATAAAGATCACTGTTTCACAGGATGAAAAGGAAGACAGGCTTGGGGGAAAAAAAATATAGTAAGTATGACTAGTCAAATACTACTACAAAAAATATAAAACTGATTTTGACAATGTTAATTGAATTTCTTTATTAATACTGTATATCTACAAAACATTTGTTTCTTTCAGTAAAAAGTCTCATTGTAGTGGAAACTATCAAATCTTTTCTGTGACTTCTTCCTACTGTTTGACTGGATATGGATAAACATACTTATATGGATAAACACAAAACATCAAATATAGTCAGACAGCAAATTAAGGTCTTCTAAATTACAGAAGACACACGCAATAAAATAGGGGCATGACCTTTGTGGCAACAAAGTATGCTTTGTCCTTTCTAATAGGCTTATTCTAGAGGCTAGCAATTGCCACATACGGTTACAAAACCTGTCAGCTGATAAAAATAGCTGCTTACCTACTATCTGTGTCCAAACCTACAAAATCCTTCTTTTCAAAAGGAACACAGAGTAGCGGGATCTTGTCTCCAGACTTATCAGTGGCTCTGTCAAGCCGCTTAGATTCCAAGACAATGAAGAGGGATTCAATAAAATCTTCTATTCTCTTCTCCACAGTCTCACATTCATCATAACTGGGATAAAATGCCACATCCGTGCGGGGCTGCTCTGCAATCTCTCCTTGAAGTCCGAAGACAAACAACCGGGAATCATACAGCGTAGAACCATACATTTCCTTTTGAAGATGGAATTTTTCAAAAGTCTGAGGCCAGTCCTTTGCAGAAGAACAGTCGGTAATAGTTATCAGCCCCACAACTTTGCGGTGTGTCTGAAAATCTCCCCATTCATTATTCTCTGGCGGATAATGGTGCCTATAACGGATATACAACACACGCTGAGAGTCGCGCACATTAACTTGACTCACTGCTGAAATCCGCTTGTAGATCCTGAAGAAGCTCTCTTCTGGCACAAAACCAATCGGCTGAACCACAACCAGGAGGGTCTGATGGTCCTCAGCGCACTGCATGTAGTCAGGAACACTCATTTTGGATCAACTGCGGGCTAATAAAAGAAAAACATGTATTTTTCTTAAACATTCAAAAATACCTGTGGCTGCTGAATGAAGGACTTCGATCCTAAACATTTCTGCATTCTCTGTATTATGCACTCCTTTAAACTGCTTCCACACTTAACTGTTTTATTCTCTTCTCCCTTTTTCAAGGCAGAACACCGCTATTTGCTCTACAATGCTTTTTTCATAATTTTACTAAATTTTCCATCACACAAAGTTAAAGTGAGCACAAAGAGCGCTCTTAGTCACAAACCCAAACAGCCACGAGCAAAAGCATCTAAGTTTTGTTCTTTGCCCAGATGAGTTCCCCCATCCTATTCCCTCTGCAGCTATACAGGTAACTGCGCAAGCAATGCAAACCCGCAGAAACCCACGGGGCAGCGGAGAGTCTCTAGCTACTGTTAGGCTACCGCTGCCACAGACTGAACGCTTACCAAAACCTCAGCAGAGGCCTTATCTGGGACTCGGACTCTCCGGTCTGTCTCTAGGATATGCCTTGTGGAACCACTGAAAATCAGGTAAGGTGAAGGGTAAACTACTACCAAATTAGAATGGCCATAGAGCTGCCAACGCTTTCACAAGGCCATGCCAACGAGAAACAGGTCCACAATACTTATTCAAGCAGAACTGAAGCCATTATTTTCCCTCAAAGCACGCATAGGTTTATCGAGACCAGGCAATTACTTCTTCCTTTACATTTAAACGCTTAAAATTCCTTCCCCCTCTGAGCTCTAAAATCGATCGAACTGCTGCGGCTCTCTCTGAAATTAAGATGAGCACAGCTAAAACATTTCATCTCCTCTGAGGCCTCCTGGACCACTCAGTCACGCTGGCGGCTTTCAGCTTCAAAACACCCTCTAAAAAAGTATATATGGGCGGGGGGGGGGATGCAGCAGAGCCTTAGACTGACGCTAAACGGTTTACTAACCAGAACTAAGGAAAAAACCAACAACAACAAAAGAGTGTTGTGCCCGGGAATGTAGGTGGTGGCGGAAAATAAGCTGTTTCGAAGGGTTTTTTCCTTAACGGCAGACGGCCCGAGGCAGGGGGCAACCTGTTTCTCCCAGTGCCCTCGTCCCCCCACCCCCACCTCCC